GCACCAGAGTCCATTTTAACTGCCACTGGCAGTTAATTATTTATAAGATGTAAGAAGAAAACTCAGTAGAACCAGTTTGGTCTAATACAGGGGTGTCAAACTGCCGGCCCATGGGCCGGGTGCGTCAAGGCAAAACCACACTCACCCCATTGCCGGCAATGGAAAAAAAAGTCACGATACATCGTGACACATCACGTGACGTTGCTAGTTTGACACTCCTGGTCTAGTGGTTAAGGCACCACTAGTGCTGCCTTAGGCATGAAAGCCGAATGGGTAACTTTGGGCCAGTCTCCCTCAGCTCATGATGCCAATTCCTGCCACAATCAACAGATCAACACTGAGTTGATCTAAAGAAAAAAAGTGGACACTGCACTTGCAAGAGAATGGTAGGCGGGGAAAAAATGTAAGAAGAAATTACTCTGTTAAAATTATACAACATGCTTTCAAAACAACCTGAGAAAAAAACAATGTGGAATTTGGTTACAATAGATAACCTTTGCCCTGTCTTTTTCCTATATGGGGATCCTTTTTCATACTTCACAAAATAAGATCAACATTGATAAAATGAAATAAAGTCCTTCTAGTTTACTTTTAATAGTGCAACAAGTTGGATTCAAGTGGGAAGGTAGCTGATTTGGTAATGACACCACCGTACACATATTTTTTAATTTTTGTTTTGCTCCAGCATGGTCGAGATTTCCTTGATCACTCTAGCCAGATTATATGTTAATTCTCTAGGAGACCCTTTGAGTTTCTGCTTGCTTGCTTCAGTCTTCAGTTTCACAGGAGATTGATCATTATGATTTGGAATTCTTATTAAAATAAGAACTCCAAGAAACGTGAAAGAAACCTTCTTTTTATTTTGCAAACTTGCTCAGCTACACTGAGCAAACGTGGAAACAAGAGTATCCTTCATCATATATAAGTGAACCTCACTGGCTCGGATTAAAGAGTAATGAATATGGTGTTGAAAATCAGATACTTAATTGGCATTTCTAAAATCTTCATGCTTAGGCAGCCCAGCTCTTTCTTATGCAGGGCATTTTTTCTCATAGAACGCCCAGAACGGAGTTCCGGCACCTTTTTTGGATGGAACCTTGTAGGGTAGGCAAGGCGGGTTGTATGACGTGTGTGAGTTCCGGCACCTTTTTTTTATATATATAGAAAAAAAGCACTGTTCTTATGAATCTCTAATCTCAAACCAATATTGAAAATAATTTTAATTTAACTTCTTGCCATAAGATTGCTATGACTTCAGCGTCACCTAAGTTTTACCATAATTATATTAATCATTATTTTTAAGGTTGCCATTTTTTTCTGAGGACTGTTAGTATTTTGTTTCCCCCTTTGGGCCCAAGGGTATGGCATAAGATATACCATAATGCTAGCAGAGGATAGTATTTCATGCATCTGATACAAGACATGGCAGACTGCCTCAATGAACTCGGCTATGTATGAACAAAGCTGTTCCAAGTATAGGACACTTTTGAAACTTCAAAAGGAACCTCCCACTTGAACTTAACCACAGTTGACAGATACGGGACCACTTGCAAGGTCTGCTTTCATAATCCCATTAACTGCTAATTAGGTTAGTTTTAACTATGGCTCAGTGTTCTAACAAGAATCTCAACCCAAGGGTCTAACCAAAACTTACTTCCTCCCCTAGCCTACCTCCTACCTCAAGAAGAGTAATTGATGGTTACCCCACCAATGTTCTGATACCATATGCCATGTAATGGTATAATGTTTGGTGGGATGAAAAGGAAACAGATCTAGAGGAATCTGGAAGGCCCTTCCCTTGATTTATCGCACACAAAGCAATAAGGACACCACCATATAGGTCATCATCATCAGTAATCAGTAAATAATCATCAGTAATTCAAGGGTAGCATTTTTTTTGTTAGGATAGCTTTCTTCTGACTTCAGATAAATGGATGTCATTTCAACTGGCTAGTCCAAGGTTGCTTGGGGGGGGAGGGTGGAATCTAGTTTGTTAACTAAAAGAAAAGTTAGGTGAAGCATCGCTATGTTAATACAGACTTTCCAGTAACACTCTTAGCTGAAAACTGTCTAACTTAAGTTTACACCTATTCAAAGATTCTGAGACAATTTCAAACCAACTTACTGTATTTCTCATGATGTCAGTAGTGGTGGAGAGCTGAGCTGATTTATTTCTGTCTACAGTGTAGTTGAAACTACTGTGAAACAATGGTAGCTGGGGTTTATTTATTTATTAAATTTATATGGCTGTCCACCAAGGGAAATCATCAAAACAATTAAAAAACAAAAATTAGAATATTTCGGACATGTGATGCGACACCCAGAAAAATATGGCATACTCCATTTAATCCTCCAGGGAAAGATTGAAGGCAAACGAGGTCCAGGCAGAAGAAGAACATCGTGGCTTCAAAATCTAAGGGATTGGTTTGGACAAAACTCAGCAGCACTTTTTCGTGCGGCTGCTGATAAAAACAGGATCGCCAACATGATTGCCAATGTCCGATAACAGATATGGCACAAAAAGAAGAAGAAGTCCACTCACTGAGTGTCTAACATCCAGTTAAAAACAAAAGGTCACAAGAACAAATATAAAAACACTTCATCCATTCCTATATCTAGACAAATGTGTATGTATACCTTTAAGTGTGGATTCCTGGCGACTGCCTTGACTAGTCACTGCAGCTTTCTTGGCAAGATTTTCAGAAGTGGTTTGCCACTGCCTGTTTCCTAGGGCTGAGAGAGAGTAACTAATCCAAGCTCACCCAGCTGGCTTTGTGCCTAGGACAGAGCTAGAACCTCATATAGTCAGTTTACAGGGGGCTTATTTAGGTGCATGCATGCATGCATGCATGTGTGTATACACATACACTTAAACAAGCCACCTGAATACGACTCCCCTAACATCCTCCCTGAGGTAAACACCAAATCTTCAGTGCTATCTAGAGGTCAGTTGCAATGGCAGAAAAAGCAGGCCTCCTCAGATCCACCACATTATGTTATTTAACACAGGGGTCTCCAACCTGTGGGCCGCAGCCCGGTACTGGGAATGGCTGGCGAGTGCGTGCACAAGTGCACGCATCCCCCACTCGCACTAGTGGCCCCATTTGCGCATGCGCGGGAGTGCTAGAACCACTGCCAGTGTCACGCAGTCACTAGTGGCCCGTTTGCGGGTGCTAGTGGCCTGCTTGCATGGGTGCATAGGCACGTGCGCCAGCACTGCCGCGGGTGTGCACAGTCCACTTGCGCACGTGCATGGATCCTGGTGCCGTCACCATGCACGTGCCCATTTGTGCATGCGCGTGGACACACACACACATTTCTCTACTCCTCCCTTTCCTTCCGAGCCACCAAGCCAGAAAGGTTGGGGAACTCTGATTTGACAGACAGGAGCTGGAGCATGCCTATTCTGTCAGAACTTATAGGGCAGGCCAAAATAATTGGACATAGGTGACCTACCGATCACCTGGCCCTGTGCTATGAAGGACTTCATAGATAAATAACCAGCATCTTGAATTGCATCTGGAAGCCTTTTGGAAGCTAGTGTAGCTTCCAAAATAGTGGTGCTATCAAGGTGTGTCCATCAATATCTGTGTTATCTGGTTTAGGAGGCAGTTGCAGCTTCAGAGTAGACTTCAGGAGTAGCTCTATCGTACAGCATGTCATAATCCAGGCAAGAGACATGAGTGACCACAAGCAGGGCCTCCCAATCCAGGAATGTGCACAGTTGGCCAAAGATGCAGTTGTGTAAAGGATCCCCTAGCCATGTCTAACACCTGCTCTTTGGGCAGGAGCCGAAAGTCTAGGAGCAATCCAGGCTGCATACCAACTCCATGGGTGGGGTGGGGGGTTTCTACTCCATGCAGGACGGACTGCAGAAAATAAATCAAACCTTGGAATCCTTAAAACCCCCAGCCATGTGATTTTAATAAGGTTGAGCCTAGTCCTGTTCTTCTTCATCCACACCCCTACATCCTAAGAAAAAAATATATGGATAGCATCACAGCACAAGGGTTAAACTTAAAGAGTTACTTTTTTTTGTTAACGAGAACTTATTTCTTCCACTCTTAACAGTTATGGCAGCATAAATGCACACTACTGATCAGATCATCCCTTTCCAATTTAAGAAATTATTTTGCTTTAGTAAATCCAAGGAAGATACTTGCAGGGGTTCTCAACCTTGGCAACTTTAAGACTTGTGGACTTCAACTCCCAGAATTCCTCAGCCAGCAAAGCTGGCTGAGGAATTCTGGGAGTTGAAGTCCACAAGTCTTAAAGTTGCCAAGGTTGAGAACCCCTGTCAGAGAAACACATGCTGTCATAAATTTGTCAAAAGCTTCAGATTAGAGAAGCATAGCTGTTTCTGTACAAAAATCTTGCTTCCAACTCATCTGCGGGGAACATGAAACTTACTATCTCAGATTCCTGTTAATAAATCCCACGGAAAAAAAACCCCGAAACATTATTCATTGGCTGTTGTTCCCTCTGTATGTTAATCTGGATTAATTTACATAACCCCGCCCAGAGTCCTGCCTCTCTTAAGTGCCTCTCCAGTGTGAACTGTCAGGAAAGGGTTTCGTTTCTCCGAAGCTGCTACAGGGTTTTTCTTTCTGGTCTTAGAACGTGCATTTTTATGCATTTTCAATTCGGGAGAAACTGCTTTGGGCTTCTGAAAAAAAAAATTGTGGCGAGACTAAATACGAAGTGGAGTAAGGTAACATTTTCCCTGCTCTCAGGACGTCTTTGTAACTGCTGTTATTGCTCATGAAGAGTCTGCACAGAGGAAGAGAAAGAAGTATTAATATTGCAGGATCCCGTTGTATGTTTTGATAGCTCTATGGATCTTGGTTATGAGAATCCAGCAAACCACTGCTAGCAAAGTAAATGAGGTGCTTTCAGTTCTAAGAGTTTTCTGCACAAGAAGTACCTCTTCTTTGTCTATTAGCTTTGAACATCAAATGAAGGACACACCTCATTTCATAAAAAGAAGAAGCACGTGGACCATGGACCAAACTGGAAGCCCCCGAACTGACATCTATGTGTTCCACAGCTTTGGCTGCAACAGACACAAAGATGAAGGTAAATCCATTGTTTCCTGAAGTTAATATGATTGTTATGAAAGCAAACTTTTTAAAAAAAAATATTCCGGGTGAATCCAGAGTTATTTTACTACTTTAAGCCAATTTCCAGCCCATGTCAGGCTGATTAAATGTCCCTAAAAAAATAATAATCTGTGTCTTAATTTTTCCAAGGCCCTAAAGCTTCTTCCTGGATTTGGTTTAACAATCCCCATTACACTTTTGGGAGAGAGAAAAACCCCCAAGATTAAAATCAATAGAGTTCTTGGGATTTCTTTTAAATCATAGAATCCTTCTTTATTTTAAAGAAAAAAAGAACTGAATGTGTCCTCAACCCTATTTCCATTGATCAGTTTTTCTTGGAAAAATACTTTCTGATGAAGTTACAGGGGTTGTGAGAAATTCAAGACAAAAATCTGCAGGACAGTTGAGGTGGGATGTTTTTGTCATAAGCATATTTTATGTACACACAGAACACTGCAAATGCAAGTTGCTAAGATATGGGGCATTGCTTGCTAATGTTTGGATGGCAGTGTCTTGAAGAAGACCTATGGATAATTGAAGATGAACTGTAATAATCTGGAAGATGCTAGGGTAGGGATACCTCTGTTACCATGGCTATTCTGTCATAAATTCTGCGATGAAAAATTCACCTGGAGTAGAATTTTGTCCCATCCCTGGTCAAGAATTTTGTCTGCAAATCAAATAGTAAGTAAAGGTAATTACACAGGAATATTCATAATAAACTCTCTGGAAATAGGTACCCATTACAAACCATGACGATGCCACAAACATAATTACATTAGGTGTTCCCTTGTAATGGACTGTGTGGATGACATTGGGGAACAAGTGGATGAGATGCTGTGTAGGAAACACTCAGACAAGAGAAGCAGAAATCCCCAATAGCTTAACAGTCAGAGACAGAAACTTAGGAAGACTCTTCTCTAATGGATCAATTAAAAGTGATAGTGGGAGGTTTGTCCTTTCAGACTTGAAAAATTCTGCTAATGTAGCCTTACAATAAAGTAGAATTAATTCATCTAGTCATGTTTCCTGTCTGGTTTACTTGGACATCCCCCCAGGTACTTTTGTATCCATACTAAATATAATAATAGGATCGCAGTAACAGCATATTCCAGGTGCCCTTCCCCTATACTTTCCAGATGTTCTGAAATGCAATGTCAGTGACGGACATCCAAACGGATAATAGCATAATCCATTCAGAGTCTTCCGTTCCATACTGGAATTGTAATCTTGAGCATCTGCAAGGCACCAAGCTCTGTTTTTGATAAATCAATTTCTTAAGGATTGTTCACCAAGACTATAGAACTATATTCAACAGTCTTAAAACCCTCCAAAAATATATTTTGAATTACCCAAAGGGCATCGGGAAATAACAATGATCAGTGTATAATGCTTCATAAAATATTGAGAAATCTAACCTCAGAAGTTCGCCATCTAGTGGCATGTATTAAAAATTAAAGAAAGACAACAATATTGCATATGTTTTAAGATGGTTTTCTTTTTGGGTAGAAATATTAAGGTTTTATATTGTGAGTATATATTTATAAAGTGAATTCCAGACATGGCATTACTCAGAGTAGACTCGCTGAAATTCCTGGGATTTAATTCAAGTGGTATTTCAATAATGTAGACTGAGGTCAGATTCACTGTAATCTAATTGGAGGGTGGCGGTAGCACGGGGGGGGGGGACAGTACGACCTTGAATATAAAAATGGGAGGTGTCTACTTGCGCTAAAGCATATTTTAGTAGAAGAAATATTGAACATACAGTATGTTATTTTATTTTATTGATTTCTATATTTATTATTGTGTTTTAGATGCTGCTCTATTCTCAAATGTCAATAATAATAGTAGTAGTAGTAGTAGTAGTAGTAGTAGTAGTAGTAGTAGTAGTAGTAGTTGGAAGGGACCTTGGAGGTCATCGGGTTCCAACCCCCTGCTCAGGCAGGAACCCTACACCATTTCAGACAAATGGCTGTCCAGTCTCTTCTTAAAAACTTCCAGTGTTGGAGCATTCACCGCTTCTGGAGGCAGGTTGTTCCACTGGTTAATTGTTCTAACTGTCAGGAAATTTCTCCTTAGTTCTAGGTTGCTTCTCTCCTTGATTAGTTTCCACCCATTGCTTCTTGTCCTGCCTTCAGGCGCCTTGGAGAATAGCTTGACTCCCTCTTCTTTGTGGCAGCCCCTGAGATATTGGAACACTGCTATCATGTCCCCCCTCATCCTTCTCTTCATTAAACTAGACATACCCAATTTCAGCAACTGTTCCTTATATACTTTAGCCTCCAGTCCCCTAATCATCTTTGTTGCTCTTCTCTGTACTCTTTCTAGAGTCTCAGCATCTTTTTTACATCGTGGTGACCAAAACTGGATGCAGTATTCCAAGTGTGGTCTTATCAAGGCATTGTAAAGTGGTATTGATACTTCACGTAATCTTGATTCTAACCCTCTGTTAATGCAGCACCTGACAAAAATAAAGTTTTAAAACTTCTGAATAGTGATAAATAATATATATTACAGTATCCCCACCCTCCTCCCAAAGTTGAGCAAATTTTCTTTAACTTTTATAATGGCAAACATGAGTTACCGAAGGCTGGGGGCCTCAACCCCCGGTCTGTGGACCGGCACTGGGCCGCGGCATGCCAGAAACCAGTCTGCACAAACAAGCAAAGCCCCATCCGCGGGGTGCAGGCAGTACATGAAATCACGCCCTGTCCGGTCCGTGGAAAAACCTCTCTCCATGGAACCGGTACCTGGTGCCCAAAAGATTGGGGACCTCTGACCTAAGGGACCGTCTTTTTCCAAGAATATCTACCTGTGCAATTCAGTCCATCAGACTAGGCATACAGTGTTGGCTGCTGGGGACTAGAAGATGGGTCTGCTCTGCTGTAGCCCCTATTTTGTAGAATCTTCTCCCTTCAGAGATTAGAATAGCTCAAACCATATTGACCTTTCAGAAGGCTTTAAAAACTTGACCGTATACCCTACCTCTTGCCTGTGCAAGAGTGGTAAAATATCCCATGATTGCTCAGGGTTGGATGTGTCAAAATCCTATCCAATTTGATGATTTGGGGTATTAATATGAAGAGGTAAGGGAGGAATGCTTAGATTTTCTACAAGGTTTTCTCACTGTACTCAGTGCCTTAAACCTGCCCCAAGTAGAATTCTCTTAATGGTTCAATTTTCTTCTTATTACCAGTCATTGCAATCAGTTAAAGGTTGTAGGTGTTTTGAATATTTGTGGTCACACTAACTCATATATTTAAAACATGCATTGCCCTTCTTTCCAAGAGTGGGGGCAATGCATATATTTTTATAATTACATCTAAGGAAGAGGTTAGCTTGAGATTGCCCAAATGGAGTTTTAGACCTGAGTGATTTTGATGATTATCCACATCACAGGTGAGCAACCCAAAACTATCAAACCTCATGTAGTCCATGAAATTTAGTTGTTACAGACAGTGGACACCCCTCAAATTGCCTTACTGGATTTTAGAGGCATGGTTGCCTAAAATTAGTAGCGCGATCCTTGGTATGTTGAGTCAAAAAGTATACAAAAATTGCAGTACAACCCCAACAAATAAATTAAAAAAAAACACCAAATCCAACTGTTTGGAAAAAAATTAAAAATATGATCTCCCTTTCATAACTAGCATAACCTCAACAATCTGAAATCAGTTCAAATTGTTGAACCCTCCATTATGATGCCTTCCCCTTTTCTCCTGCATAAAGTTTGTCTTAGTCTGTGCCATATTTTAATACATTCTTGAAATTCTGCTTGGTGTCATTGGGATGACTATAAGATTTTAGCACTTCCCAGTCTTCATCGTTTGCTGAAGCTTGGCACCGGTAGCATTGTAACAAAATACAGAATAACAGAGTTGGAAGGGACCTTGGAGGTCTTCTAGTCCAACCTCCTTCTCAAGCAGGAGACCCTGTACCATTACAGACAAATTGCTACAATGGCAATTCTGGGAGGGCACTAGGTTGCCAAAATGTGGCCATAAAGCAGTTTCTCTTTTTAGAACCTATTAACACTCTCCTTTATTCCATATCAACTCCATGGCTGTAGTGAGTCTCCCAATTTTTGATTTAGCACAGTATTCTTTAAATGAATATGGATGATGCAATCAACAGCATATTCACACCTCAGTGAGAAATAATACCAAATTTAGTGAGTGATATTTCTTTGAAACACATTGTTCAAGTTTCGTCAGGGTTAGGCAAGCCCTGTTTTTAGCTCTGGGTTTCAGTGCTTCTTGGCAATAATATAGGTGTCAGGGGATCAAGCTAAGCATCTCCTATTTCACAAACTATTGACAAGTAGGGCACTGGTGGCATAGAAAAACCATTATAAGAACTGTTAAAGTGATTAGAGAACTTACAAAAGACTTCTATAGATTGATAAGTCATTACGTTGGATATGGAGTTCAGGTGGCTATAGTCCCAACAGTATAAATGATCAAGAAATTGTGGTCGACACATCAAAACGTTTCAGATTTAGAATAGGGATGGTTGAATCAGTTTTATTTGATTTCTGTTTTTTCCCTTCTGTTATGGTTTATTTCATTTTCTTTCCATATTAGCTTATATATTAAGACTGCAAAGAAAGTTTAATCTATTTGAGATACATACAATCATAGACAGATACATTCACATTCACAATTTTTTCACCAATGTAATACATTTTTGTTTGTACATTCCCCCATTTCTTTTTTTAAAAAACCACCAACCTCACTGCAAAATTTAGAAATTGCAAATATTACCATACTGTACACAACATTCAGAAAGCATAAATCTAGTAAATTCGCAGTAAAATATGAACCAAGCCAACTGGATATTATCTACTGTATACAGAGTACAATTTTCTCTCTTGAAGAATGAGTCAGTCTATTTCCAGCCTATATCAGATTCCCACCTACTTATTAGTAAGTCCATTTAATTTATTTTTTTAGAAAAAAATTGCACCCAAAGTTG